ACTAATTAACTAGTATAATGAAAAATGTAACAAGAATACTAATTAACTAATTAACTAGTATAATACTAGTTATAGTAACTAATATATAATATAATGTTTATAGTATATACTCCCTCCGTCCCAGAAAATTCTTCCCACTTTCCTTTTTGGGTCGTCCCAAAATATTCTTCCCACTTTCCCTTTTTGGACAACTTGTGTGGTTCACATTCATTTCACATTTTTTTTACACAACCACAACCACACATTTCCACTTTATTCCACTTTCTTAATCTCCGTGCAAGTCAAAGTGGGAAGAATTTTCTGGGACGGAGGGAGTAATATATAAGTATACTACTATAAGATGAGTAATACACTTATATTTTATACTTTAATATATAAACTATATATTAAGTAGATGTAGAATATATGTATTAACTATTAAGTGGATATAATAATTGTATAAGAATTAAATATTAGAGTATAATGGAGAATTGGAGATTGGAGAATAAGAAAATATGTATATATGAAATATAAGTAGAGAAGTAGATATTATTATGTATTAAGTATATAGTAATAGTTTATAAAGTATATTTAATACTTTAATATATAAAGTATATATTAAGTAGATGTAGTATGTATGTATTAAGAGATATAAGTAGAGATTAAGTAGATAAGAAATATAAGTAATACAGTATATGTATTTATAAGTAGATAATTAATATATAAGTAGATATAATAATTGTATAAGTATTAAATACTAAATAGTAAAATAAAATATAATGGAGAATAATAGAATTTGAGAAGATGAATATGGAGATGAGTAGAGAGTAGGATTTAGGAAGAGTTGGAGAAGAGGTGTGAAAAAATGTTTAAAATTAGGAGTATTTATAGTTTTTTTTAACACCCCCCCCCCCCCCCCCCACCCCTTAAAGGCCCCGGACCCCCCTGGTATCCACCCAATGGCTATATAGCCGTTTGGGAAGTGGGTCAAGTGCTCAAAAGGCTTTTTTAATTTAAAAGGAAAAAAAAAAATTTAAAAAAATTGGACCGTTAGGCCAGGGCCCGACCCGGCCGGGCCTCCAAAAACGACACCCGAGCCCGGACCCGCCACCCCCCACCGGTTCGGTGCCCGAACCGGACCCGGACCCGAGAACCGGGCCGGTTCTGGGCCCGCATAGTAACGGGCCAGGCCGATCTCGGGACGGGCGGCCCGAACCGGGTCCACCACTAGCTATGGCAAATAAGCGTGTATGAGAAGAGAAGATGAAAGATTAGTCAATCAGAACAAGAATTGAGTGGGAATTTGAGTTATTTTTTATATGTATATTCGAGGGGTTTTTATCTTCAAATTTAAGAGGTCATATTTGTTTATTGTAAACACATTAGTATTTCCGTCATAGTTTTTTTTTTTGCAAACAGTTTTTTATTGTTATTGTCATAACTCTTCTCCAAATCTCTTCCCACCCCATACATAACCTCAACGTTAATATGTTATCTATAAGACTATAACATAGAGTGAGGGTATGCCCGTCCGGCCGTCCCTCTTTCCACCACACATCATGTCTAGAGGCACGATCCTCAAAATGTGCCATTGGGATTTCAGAGTTCTGGTTTGTCTCAAATCAAATTCAATTCCATTTCTATTCCATAAATCTAACTGTTGGGTTACATATTCTGAACACCACCACCACCTAAATAAAACCTATATTTACATGATAAATTTACACTCCTGGGATGATTATAACTGATCTCTTTTTCTAGTAATTCCAGTGGGAACACCGTAACAAACTGGGGATGCCCCATTCAAATATCGAAGGATGCATGCCTTTCGAGCTTCCTCCATGAACGACCCAATTCTCGGCCTATGCCTACAACATTTATTATGCATATCCCTCTTATTTCTATTTCTCCAACCTCCTTTTATGTCCATGGACTTCAAGTCCTCTGAAATTTCACTGCATTGGTCACAGCCTTCATTACAGTTGGACCTTTCTGTTAACCACCCTTCCAGCATTGTCTTGCCGAACCTGTCAATGTCTTTGTCGGTCACTTCCCATAGATTGGCAACTATGATTGGAGAGCCTGCTGAGAGGTAACATAAGGGGGCGCCCTGAGGAATGTAGGTCTTGTTGCCTTTAAGTGACCCGCTGCTGCATCCCATTAGTAGGGAAGCCGAGCAGATCTCTAGATCCTCAATCTTGTATGCAGGGATGTATTGCATGCCTGAAATAATATTTTATATATATATATAAAAGCACTAGCCAGTCCTAGGACTACAATCAATAGGCAAAACAAAAGACAGGTTCACTAGAGAAAAATGGATGGAATGTTCTGGAGGAGTTTGGCCCTTGATGAATAAAACGTCACATGATTACCGTTTATGTTATATGAAACGGTGGGTCGATGAAATGTCATATGATTACCATTTATGTTACTCCATGTTTTACTTTTATAAAATCACTATTAAAGACCTGGCCCTCCAAAACCTTCACAGTCCAAGTTCCCCCTTTGAATGTGTTTTGGAGTTTGGTTTTGGAGGGGTGATTATTTTAACCAATTAAATAGTGCTTTAATGTGATAATATTTTTAAACAATATTTTAAATACGGAGTAATAACTAGTACAAAACACATTGTCCTATAGATATTCTCAATTAATATCAAATGCAGTCTTAGTTTAAAATTTTAAAATAACCCCACCAACAGCCTCCAAATCTGACTCACCAACAAATCCTTAAGATATGCTTGGTTGAAACTTGAAAGAGAGGTCTGTGTTTTGATATGTATTTGAGATTTTAAAAAACTGATAGATTAGCATAATATGTGGATAGTATAACATTTCAATCACCTTTTTATTTGTTCGTAGAACCATTCTATATGTCAAGATATATACAAAGCCTCCAAATCTTTCTTTCAGAAACCTTCATCCATATTTTCATTGAATTTTAGGGTATGGTTGGGATGGAGGACGTTGGAGGGTTTTAAAAGACTTAATTATAAATTGGAAGAATGTCAATAAGTCCTTTTACTATTTAAATACATCACCTATACACATACTTTAAAAAGTGTCAAATAAGTCTGTGTACTTGCAAAAAATAGTCATGCAAACCAAATGACCGGAAAAAGACCGCATTTAGTAGGTCGGTTACTTACATGTCATTCACTCTTCATTTAATTTCATTTATCTTTTTCTTTCTCTTTCTTTTCTATTTGTTTTTGGTCTGCCTCGTGGTTTAACTGTTTGTTCATCTTCTACCTGCATCTTACCGCTTTCCTCTCTTTTTATTTTCTTATTTCTCATTTTCATTGTTTTTCTCTTCAGCCTGCCATGTGTTCCCTCTTTTACTTTCTCTTTCTTTTTTCCCTGACTTTTTTCTTTCTTCTTGTTTCTTTGTTCCTCTTCTACAGTTCTACCCCTGCATCATCTGCATTTCTTTTTTTTTTGCTCTTCTACTTTAAAATCAAATCAAAACCCTATATTTCAAGAGATTTTTTCCTTTATTTGTTTCAATTACTTTGCATTTGTTGTTATAATTTCGTAGATTATGTATGTCAATTTTTGTTACTCAATGGGATTTAATTAATAATGCCAAAAATAACACCGTTGGCTTATACTAATACAATTTCATTCACTATGCTACAGTGAAAAAAAATCTATTTGTGACCTGCCGTCACCAGTTACAGTTATTCGGTTTGGTTTGCCAGTTACAATTACCGTATTCAACCAATTATCCGACAAGACCCGCCAGTGTCCCGGTCAGTCACTGTCGTCCAGTGACTTCCATGGCCGGCCATTCACCACCTGCTCACAGTTACAACATGATTTTCAACAAAATCTGCTCGCCCGTAGCCCCCGCCCGCCACCACTGCCCCTCCCCCTGCCCTGCCAACACCACGCCCCAGCAACCCTAGCCCCTGCTACTGTTTAGTGACCTGGGGGTCAATATACAGTTACTTCAGCCTACCCAACTGCCACAACTACACCTGTTCCCACCCCAGCAATTTCCTACCCACGTCACTGCCCTGACCGTGCATTCTCCCCATCCCCATCCCAAATTCATAGCCGCCGACCCCTGTGTCGGCCTTGTAAATAGCCGCCGCTTCGGTTAGGCTGTAATTCACCCTTTTAACCCTAGAAAAACCCTAGCTGGTGCTGGACATTGTCATTGGATAATAAGCTAGGGCCTCTGTCACTCAGATTCATCGCTCGAATCTGCAGCGTCGCCATTGCGATGACCTAAGATAAAGAGAAGAAAAGGATATTGTGGACGGATTGCAACGCGACAGTGACGTAGATAGCAGCAGCAAGAGGGGCTGATTGGCAGTGAGAGGTCAGTGGCAATAGCAGATGTAAGAAAGGCGGCAGCCTGGTCCATATAGAAGATGCCGAAGGCTGAAGCGGACGAGAGAGCATATGGGTTAAGTTAAGGAAGGGTCTTTCTGTCCATATACAAATATTTAGTCGTATTTCTGTCCAAATTGAATTCAGGCCGTAACTTTTTTGTCCATCCATAAGCCAATGGTGTTATTTTTGTCATTATTTCAAGGAGAAGGCTGAAGGCTCAAAAAGGACATCAAGGTTACTCAAGAAGGAAAAGAAAGAAAATAAGCTATTGGGGTCGGCTAACATGAATCGATACATGATATCACCAAAAGGAAAAGAAAGAAAATAAAGATAATAAAGATAAGCTATTATAAAAAAAGATAATATAAAAGAGATCAATATACATATAAAAGATAAAATAAATAAGATAAAGTAATATTTATATATAAGAACAAAAAAAGAGGGGAAAAGATGATACAAGATCACTTCTCCACACGAATATCCGCCCTCCATTTTGCTCTCTCCAAAGCCATACCTTCATCCAATACAAGAAGAAGCATATCACTTCTGACTCCCTTAACCCACGTCTGTTTGGGCCTTCCTATCCCTCTTCCCTTAATATTTTAATAAAATGTAATAGTGGGTTGGGCCAAATAATTAGATAGATTGAGGGAAGCAGAATTTGGATCTGGACTGGGACTTGGGAGTGTTGAGACTACTTGAAGTGTCTCTGTCGTCTTTTCTTCTTTCTATTCTTCTCTTTGTACTACGATTACCATCATCGGCTATTGTTAAAGCTTCTGTACTCCTTTTTCCTGAATTAATATACAGTAGATTGCTTGGTCCCTGTCATTGGTATCAGAGCAGTCGACCCAGGGAAGCTTCAATCAACAGTCACGCGGAAAAAAATGTAGCACAGGGAACATCGACGGTCAGAGAAGGTGGCCGCCTCTGCTTTGTGCGCGAACATGGAGAAGCGCAAGAAGCGCATGTCTGCGCAAAAGGGGAAGGAACCGCATCGAAGATCCAATCAGGATGCTTCGCGCGGGAAAGAGGAGAAGCGGGCGGAAAAGGTTGAAAGTGATTGGGCGAAGGAGATGCGAATCTGGTTGGACAAGATGCGCAAACGTTCACGTCGCCAGAGACCTAGAGGCCAAGCTAGGAGCCCTCCTAGACAGCGTTGGAATTCCGGAAACCAGCACTCATCGTCATCGCAAACTCTAACGCTATCGAGAGGAGAAGCTTCCAGTTCTCAGGTGTTTTCTTCTATCAGTTCGCAATCGCGAACCGCATCTTCCAATTCATCGACGCTAGCAGCTCCTCACCGTACAACGCTAGCTGAGTTCACTGGTCCGCAGGATTTGTTGCAAGTAGATTCTCACCCTGCACAAGTTCCATCGACGACACTGAATTTCATCGATGCTCACCCTGCGCAAGCCATAGACCACGTTGAATCAGGAAGTGAACCGCTGGAGACTCCATTACCGAACATTGAGTTGAAGCCCGCTGAACAATCAATCACTGAACTGGATCTGAACGGTGATGATACTCAACCTACGGATTATACACCAGGTAATCCTGCTGATTCCGAACCACACAGACCTCACACTATTGACAGTCCAGAAGGAAATCTTACAAATAACCCTGGTACTACCTTGGTCTTGATCAACAGTGTCACAGGGGCTAAAAAAATGGCCGGAGGTTTGCTAGTACACTAGTACGAAAACCAGAAGATTTTGAATTTGTGATTGATAGAGATCATGAAGTTGGATGGGTTGTTGTAAAAAATCTTTTGCACAAACTGTCATCAGACAATACTTTGGATGAGCTGAACAAGTTTAAGGGTATAGATAGTTGCTATTTACACTCTGGAAGTCTGGATCCCTAGGTTCTCATCTGATGTGGGACTCTCGTTTAGTTAACTATGGACATTGGGAAGTATTGAGAGTTGCTCTATCAAAGCAGAGTGAGCCGCCAGAAGCTCTTCAGCTACCAGCAAAAGTAGCCACTCACTTTGGGATTCCAGCAACTGCATTTACTCAAACACTGGTTTTTTACCCTATTCAGCAGAGCTTAGCTATCAGGACAACAGATGGAAGGCTGAAAGTTGTTGAAGAGGAACACAATGTCTACTGTATAACTATGCTATGGACTCCACCAATTGTAGCAGAGTCTTATGGAAAAGAGAGCCATTGGAGTTGTTATGCACCAATGCTGAATATCCCACTAGATGGAATAGCAACCGTAGACTGTGTCCAGATATCTTCTATGGATGGTAGTGAACCACAACTTGCTGGTTCTCCGAGGACAAACTGGGAAATGTTTGGGTTGTGTATGCCTAATGTTTCATGGACACGGTCAGCAGGAGAGAAAGCCACAGCTCATTCTGAACTATCAAATGCGTTTACTGGACTTCTAAAGTTGTGGAGTTCTAACCATCCCCCTATTGAGTATGGAGTGGGAGAGGTGCAGTCCATGAGCTACCAGTTAACACCTGTACACCTCTTAATGAAAGAAGAGCATTCACAGAAACAGGAAAAGAGTGCTGCCAAGGCCATGCAAGACCTCTGTGATATGTTGTGTTGGGAGGTCCTTCAGGTAAACGTGAGTGAGCACCTTGAAACATGGAAGGAGTTGTTAAAAGCTAGGAAGGAAGGTAGTTCATTTCAGAAGTTGAAATGGCCAAGAGATGATGAATTGAAAGCTCTCATGCTTCAAGAATATTTGGAAAGGGTGGCAGTGGGAGATTATGAGGTTACAGTGTCAAGGATTTTGGCAAATTATTCCCTCCCTCTCAATTTCATTCCTGAAGGAACCGACATACAATCAGCTACAGACGCCCTGCAATCATCAATTGGTGATGAGTTGAAATTATTTCATTCCAGGAATTTGGCAGAGTTATTGGACATGGCCTGGGTTCTACAAGAAACAAATTCTGCTATTAAAGGAGGAGTAAGGAGCAAGCAACAGACTTGGGCAGAGGGGCTGAAATGGAAAACTGATACTGAGCCGCAGGCCCACATATGGTTGATGGATGAGAAGACTGCTGAATTCTCGGGTTGGTGGAGAGTAAGGAAAGCTGCTTTGTTTGCTTTGGCTTTAGTGTCAGATCAGCTACTTGAAACAGCGGGTTTTGGAGAGTATGGTGCTACTGCAGGAAATATCTTGGAGAAAGTTCTTGTAGAAGACATTGCAACAGGGGTTGATAAATATCTTGTTCTATATGCCTATAGGTTATCAACCGTTGCTAAGCTTTCTCTTGTGAGCAGCCGGGGAATTAATGAGCAGTTGGTGTATGCGTCTGTTAAGGCAATTGGCATGGACGTGTCTCCTGCAAAAGAAGATGCTGGTCGAGCACTTTCACAGTTTTTAACTAATGCAAAATCTATAGTCATTTGGTCACATATCAAGGACTTAATTTTATCACTCACCAAGCTATGTGAACATACAACCGATGAGCCTATGCATCTGGTGTTTAAGACACTACAGGCTGCTGTCGGCAGAATACCAGTTGGGTGGAATCAAGATGGATCTGGATTCTACTATTCACGCTGAGGTAATTGAGGTCTTAAAGGTAGAGCACATCATGGATGATTCGACAATGTCTTTACCTCTGCTCATTCCTACGCGAGAGGAAGTGATGATGAAGGTTCAAGTAATGAAGCTCATGGTCCAGCAATCCGTGAAGTATTGGGAAGGAAGAGGCGCCAGAATGAAGCTGATATCCAGGGCGTCTTCCTACCTCCCACCTTGAGGACAAGGTGGTTGTCAAAGGGGGAGTAATGATAGAGACCTGGACTTTTGGGCTTAATATTTTAATAAAATGTAATAGTGGGCTGGGCCAAATAATTAGATAGATTGAGGGAAGCCTCATGTGGAGAAGAATAAATAGAGGGAATAAAAGAGGGAGAGGGTAGGCAGAATTTGGATCTGGACTGGGACTTGGGAGTGTTGAGACTACTCGAAGTGTCTCTGTCGTCTTTTCTTCTTTCTGTTCTTCTCTTTGTACTACCATTACCATCATTGGCCATTGTTAAAGCTTCTGTACTCCTTTTTCCTGAAGTAATATACAGTAGATTGCTTGGTCCCTATCATGGGGATTGTAGCGATTTGAACCCCTTCATGCCCAAGGCTATTCTGATTCGCTATTGGAAGACGATGATACCCAATGAGTTGCCCAAGCCATGGTTTCTTCTCATCAATTCATCGTCATTGAGAACCGTTGAGCTGGCGGCTGACCGGAATTTGCTCGCTGCTCAGCTAATTGGCTTTAGCTCCTCCACTATTCCCACTAATCAACTCAGCTTCCCCGCTTCCCCAATTTGAATCCGAGGCTCAACAAGCACATCAATGAGAAAGAAAGTATCCCACTGATCCATTCTACCGGTGCAGCCGCATCTCTGTCAGACAGGGAAAAAGTTTTCCAGTAATACCATGGTTGGCAACATAATTGACTAGAGCTCGCTTCAATACCTACGACACCAGATCCACCGGTGCTTTTGACCTACCGCAGAATTTGGTTTATTTTCCAAATCCGACAACAATGGCTGGCAGGCTGGGAGCAGGGATTAGGCTCAAAATCCAGCAATGGATTCAAATGCTATGAGAGCAATTCCTTGGGTATCGTTTGTAGCTTTTGGAGCGGATAAAGGGTTGTTGACAACTTAACATGGGGGGATGGTTAAACGGAAATGCTTGTGAGTGGCCAAAGGTTGCTCAAATAAGTTGTTTATGTTTTTTTGGAACCCGGTAGGCAGTTGTTTATGTATTAAATTGGTCCATTTAGAAGTTGAGTGTCCAATCCGAACTTTGTAAATAATTTTAATGTCATTTTTTATCGTTCTACCTTATTTCAATTTGGGAAGTATAGACATAGACATATAAAAATAGAAAAAAATCAAAAAAGATAAAAAAAAATGAAACGCTAAAATAAAAAATAAAATAACTACAAATATGAATACACAGTATCAAATTATAATGTAAAATATTTAAAAAGATGGAGAATATATAAATAACTCCTAAAACATAAAATTGTTGATTATAGCATTCTTACATGTTTACAGTTTTTAATCTATTTTTTGAATTTTAACAATTTTCTTGATTTTTTTTCAAAAAATGACCTGCTATAAGATTTCAAAACCCAGTATAATCAATTAATCATTCGATTGATTTTTTTTTTAGTAAATGTACTTTTATGATACATTATTTAGTATAGGGGATTAAGCTATAAATTTGAAATAATTGAAGGTCTATTTGGATCTTTACTCTTATTATTTTTTATGAGGTTTTCTCTAAAATAATTCTAATAATAAATTTATGGACAAAAATGTGACTATAAGTTACTATGTGTAAATTTTAGTCACTATGATGTACTACCACTTTTATTTTGGTTATATATTTGGAATTATATTCGTAAAAATGTGACTATAGTCACTAAAGTTACCAAGGTCACATTTTCGTCTACTACTTTTATTTTGGTTATATATTTGGAAGTATTTATTATTTTCATTACTATTACTATTACGGATCATCACCATCAGGGTTGTTCACTTTGTTTGGTGCCAAGGGGAGTTCAAATCCCGCCAAAGGAAGCCGACCACTTGGAGCTAAATTTGTAGATAGGATTAGGTTCTTCTCATTATTTGAGCATCTTCTGTGACCAAATTATGATATTATACGGATCATTGAGGTTAACTCCGTAATTAATGCATTCATCAGCTAATTAAGGGCTTAGTCAATTAATGGCCCAAATCATCCCTGGTTTGCTCGGATCATTCGAAGATTTAACATCATACAGGCAAACCCATCATATAGGGGCATCATGAGCTACAAATCCCAATTTGTATACTCATTCAAGCCCCCCAAGGGCCAGAGGGGTGCATAGGGCAACATTTTTAAGAGTATGGGACGATAAAAAAAATGATGTATTCAGATATCCTACCGCTTCCATGCCCAAAGTAAAGAAATAGGTCATGTCTCTTCAAGGCTCCAGTCAGTTCGTCAACAGTGGGTGCAACTCCACTTGTACCCTGTGCAACCAAAAACGGCATTAGCAATTGACTTTAAATCCATTTTCTAGAGCACATGAACTTCAACTAAAACTGTCAAATGCCATCAGTATACATGAATGAAAGAACTCATTGAATGGGATGCTCATCAGTTGCAACTTTAGATGTTTTTATTGAATTTATATACTACATCTGTCCCTAACTTTTCTCCCTGCTTTAAATTGGCATGCTTATTAATAAAATGGAAAATGAGAAAGGGTTGGTCACAGAATACCCGTAAAAGGAGATGGGAAAAAAAGCCATGTTACTTTAAAATGGAAATATATGTTTGTTCTGGCTAATTCACAGAACCGATATTCCCACCATGCCAAAAAAAGCTATTTTAAACCTTACTTTAAGTAAGTTACTTATGTACTAAAAATGAGACCTGCTTAAGCAAAAGAAGCTAATTTTCATGTGGTTGAGGTATTTTCTTTAAAACCAAAGAGTGACCCAAATAATTTGAGGATGGTACGTTTTGGCAAACCAACAAAAAAATTTAAGCATTGCTAAAATTGTGGTTTCAAATAAGTGTGCCTTAGAAAGCTAAAAATTTATACCTTGAAGAAACAAGACTTTTTTTGGACACATTAGTCTTTAAGTGCAACAAAAAATGATTACCTCAAAGTTTTTATCATTAAACCATCCCTCCAATGCAGCCTGGGTGAAGCTAAGATCACCATCAGGGTTCAAGACATAATATGAATCTAGAGGATCGACTAATGGGATGGAGTTCAACAGATTCCCATTTTTGATAGCTTCTTGGTGGAGGCAGCGTTTGACAAGTGTTGCATTGATAGCACCAATAGAGGGCATCCGGTAAACCTCTTGATCTTTTAATATTGGCAGGTTCTCCCATGGAAGCATCTGCAAGTAGACGTGAGTACTAAAATGTCTTAAGAAGAGCTAAACATAAACTCTATGCAAATAAAAAAGATAGCAATCGGCATCAATATTCAAACAAGCGCAATTTTGTTACCTAAAGTGTTGGGTCCCTTCTTAATTGGAAAATTTCTAAAAAACCTAGAAAAGAGTAGAGTTTTTTAGAATGTTGATAATTTTAGGGAAATGTAAAATTTTCAAATGAGAAGTAGAGAGCCTCTTTGAGAGAGAAGTGAGGTAGCTTGAGAAGTCCTAATCCTCAACATTGAGTGAGCCACTAAAGAGTAATATTCAAAAGAATATTACGACTACAAGAATTGGTATTTTATAAAATACCAATTCTTGTAGTCGTAATATTCTTTTGAATGGTGGAAGAACCTCCACATTGGAAGGCTATAAACTCTTGAAATCTCAATACTACCTTAATGTTTTAAGAAGGAATTAGTATAGGAAAAATCTTACCTTCTCAACTTGAAATAGGAATTTACACTTCTAAATTTTTAAAACTTCATTGTGCCACATTACACCATTTACTCAGAGGTAAAATAAGAGTATATTTTTTATATGTTTTTTTTATACTTTCAAACAATACTTCTACAGTTTTACATAGCACAGGTCAGCAGTTCTACACTTCAACAGATATTTTTCAAAAACAATAAATCACATAGAAGGCTAATAGAGTTGCACACTTTGAAACATACCTGCAAATCAAAGTCTAAAATGAGAATGCTTGGTTTTCGGTTTATGCATCCAGAGCCTTCGAGCTTGTCAGCCGCATCAAATATTGTTTTATATACTGCTTCTGAATATGTGCAACTTTTGGATAATGGTTGACATGTACCATCACCATGTCCACCTATGTGGCATCCATTAGTTAAAAGCAGCTGAAAAATGCAATCATCTTTCTCAACTGCATGATTAGCGCCTCCAAGAACTATCTTGAGAAGAGCCATATCAACATCCGATTTGTTCTCGAGTTTTAGATGTTCAACTACGCTCATCAAAGATGAATCCAGGAGCTCACATCCGGATAATTCACCCAAAAGTAAGTATTTCCAAGGACCCAGCCATAGTTCCTCCAAATCCCTGATGAATAGTTTGGTCAGCATTTAAAGAAAGTATTTTTACGTATTGTGTGTGGGACTGCAATTTTCGACGTAATTTTCACTATGGGTCATCCAGAAACAGTCTCTCTATGCTTTAGTATAGGGGTAAGACTGCGTACATCCGACCCCCCATACCCCACCGTTGGTGGGAGCCTTTGTGGCACTGGGGTAATGATGATGATGATGTGTGAGACTGTGGGTAGGGCTTGAAGTCAAATTCTCACCAGTAATCTCTGTCCCACTTCAATAGGCCCACTTTGAAATTTTTTGGTTTTAACCAAAAAAATTATCTATAATGTTGTGAATGCAATATAAAACTGTTATTTTTAAGAGTGCTGTCATAAAAAATCACATTTTATAATTATTATAACATCTTTGACCATGAAAGGTCAATTATTACCTATTAAAGCGGGACAGAGGTTAATATTTAATTTTTAAGCAACTCAAATCATTCATTGCATCAAATTTTTAATCTTTTCAACCATCCAAACCAGATAAAAAAGTACTAAGTTACTTACTGTAAAAACCTGGCAAGGGACTCATCAAGTTGCCTCCTTGACTTCCACCATAAAGCTCTGCTTTCTGATGTATCTTCTAGAGGACCAACCTCTAAGCACAGGTAATTCTTTTCCAATATGTCCCTAAATAATGGGGCCACATTATTAATCACACAAGATGATGCCCAACTGCAATGCCACTGCTTAGTAAAATCACTGGCTTGAACGGAAACGCTGGAGCATAGTTCCTCAGTGTCTAATGATAATTGATATAAGAGAAAAAAGAAGAATAAGCTCGTGGATATGCTCAAATGTGTTGGCATTGATAATGCTGGCTTAAAATCGTATTTACCTTTTAAAACTGAATTTATAGGGAGAACTACTATAACAGGATTATTTGTGGAACTCATCCGTGACAAAAGTATCCATGCTTGAATAGGAAAAGGGCGGGACAACAGCTGACCCAGCAAAGTGGCAAGAGTACCAGCTATGAAGCTAATACAAACCACTGTAGCAGAAGGTAAGCTTTCAAAATATTGTAGAACAAAATCTTCAAGATTGTCAACTGATCCAGGTGCATTCCTATAGAATAAAGAAAAAGTAAAGAAAATCACATAATGTGAATTCTAATAAATGAGAAGCTTTATGGCAAAAAAATACCAGAGTGTGCTGTGTTTTCTCTTATCGGCTTCATTTGAGCTACAACTACCCTGAAAATTTTGCATGTCGAAATATTCAATCATAATAATATAAAATGGCATGTAATATCACAGATTCAGAGAAAATTTTAGTATCTTTAGTAAGGACGGGCTTGAACTTCACCGACTTGAACTCCCCATTTATATTCTTTGGGGTTTAGGGTGTGGAGTGCACATATTACTCGCCTCCATAAAGAGTGAAATTATATTTTTAAATGAAAAAATGTATTAGAAAATTTTTGGGTACATATTGTGAGTCCTGCCATTGCATTAAATAATAATATTAATGAAGTAATAGCCATATTAATGTGAGAACGCTCCAATTTACAGAGTTTTTGAAAGGTAGAGATGGAGACAGATTTACGTAACAATGGAAAGCTTCGTATAACAAAATAGAGAGACAAAATACAAAGGCAGATAAAGATTGCCAAGTCTCCAAGTCCCAAGCCTATATAATAATCCCAGCCTACCTATTATTCAGTTATTCCTCCCTTCCCTTCTATTTATACTACTCTTATTATTATTATTATTCTCAGCACTAATCTGCCCAGTTCCTATCAAGTGTCAACATTAGATGGTTAGAAAAGGCTATTGGTGGAGCTCAGATTGGACACGAAACTTTTA